GGACCAAAGATAGCAATTTGAGATGCAACACGTTGTTCGTTGGTAGATGGCACTTGCCCTGGGCTAACGGGCAGATCTTTCCAGGGAAGTCCTGAGAAAAAACTACCAGAGTGCCAGAATATCTGTGCTTAAAGGGGTGTGAGTGTGTGTGTGTGTGTGTGTGTGTGTGCGTGCGCGCGCACACGCGGATCTTCCCTGAGTCATGTTCCCTGAGTCACTCAGCTGTGTATTCCACGAGGGAAATAGCAATTTCAAAGTCATTCAGCCTTCAAGAAAGCTACAGTCAAGTAAGAAAACCAGACGGCAAAATACTGGACTCTGTCAGACAGTAGCTGACACCTACCTGGATGGGAAGTGACTCAAATAAAGCCGTGGGCTCAGTCATTGTTTTTCGTGTAAATTCTGAATGGTGGTAAAGAAAAGAGCTCATGGGCCATGGGGCAAGACAGGAGCGGGCTGTTGTCAGACAGATCAGGGTTGCCGTGCGCAGTGCTTGGACAGTCACATGGCCTTGGACAAACCCGTTAATCAGAGGGCTTTGAGCCTGACGACAAAGAGACAGGAAATGAGTGTTGTTATTAATGTTTCTGGCCTTCAGCTTCCTCATCTGTAAAATAGGCTTAACAATACCCACTCTGTAGAATCTGTGTGAGGAACATAGAGTATATCGGGGTGGGGGCTGAAGCTGGCATATTGAATTAAGACTACGCAGAACATTCAGCAGGTCACCCTGCTGAATGAGGAGGCGCGAGCTGCCCACGTGGGGTCTGCAGGTAGCTCCCTCGGCATCTGAGCCCCCCACATTTGGGAAGTGAAGACCCCAGTTCATTTTGATTGAAGGCATAGTTTCAATACATTCACACGAAGGAAGTAAAGTCACAAGATTTATTACTTACAGATCTCAGAAACAGCGAGTGGAGGGGACACTATTACTTATAAGGTGGTCAGGACGAAGGTCACTCACTTTTCATGGGCTCAATTCTAAGGGCTTACTTTAAAAGGTGCCCTGGGGGGAAAAGAATAAGTGGGAACCTGTGGGAATTTTAAGCTCAGGTCCTTACCTAAATGTCCAGACTAGGTGTGGGTAGGGTCGTCACACTGATAAATGCCTGGGCAGTGACCCAAAATAGGTGTTCTCTCTTCACAATGAGGTGGCAAATTTAAACAGCTCCGTACAGTGCCTCGCATGTAGTTGGTTCTCAGTGAACATTCATTTCTACCCCTTTTCCACTTCCTGAGCCTCAGGAGCGGGTTGCAGGAAGGATAGCAATGACGTGGTAAAGCAGAACAGTGGACCATCTGGGCCTCAAATCAACCTGACCGGCCATGAGGGGTGAAAGTGATTTATTTCCCACGATCCACAGAGGGAAGCAGCCTTGGAAAAGAGCCCACCCAGAGGTGCTTCCAGCCCCTAAAGTATACCCCACTCACTTCCACTGGGCACAATTCTCCGGTGGCTCATCCACTCCTCGGCACCACACAGTAAAAGAGCTCATGTCTCCCCATCCACCTCCAGAGGTAGGCGTGAAATAACGCTCCAGGAGGGGAGCCAACCCAGACTCGACGCAGAGGCCTGTCTCAGAACAGACCGCGCTTCTCAGATTCCAATGCTCCCACCAACTACCCTTCTTTCAGTGAGTGATTCGTGTTTCTCCAACAAAGCCACCTGTTGGTCTACCTGCGGTGAGTGGCTCCTCCCTGCCCTGTGTTTCAGCACACGCAGCTGAAAGCAAGCTAAGGCGAGCCTGGGGTCCTCGTGCCGTCATCTTGGATCTTGGTCTATAAAAGCCAATGGCCGATCAGGAACAGAGCCTCCTGAAGACCAGGTAGGGCCAGCGCGGGAGCCTAGGCCATCCCTCTAAAGAAATTTTTATCCTTCATGGGCAGGTGGTCAACTTGCCTAGTGGTCCTTGACATCTCTTGCCACTTCCACGTACAAGTACCTTGGCTCGGGGTTCAATTAAGATTCTCTAATAGAGTAAGCACTGATGTCCACCCAGTCTCCTGTCGATGCAAGGGAAGTACTCCCGCCTCCGTGCTCGGTTCAAGCATTAAGTAGAGTTGATCCCAGCCTTCACTCCAAGGATGACCTGAGACTTGTGCCTGGTCAGTCAGAACATTCCATCCCCTTGGTTGTAGCAACTGGACACGCCCTTCGGAAAGCCCATAGAGCCATCAAGTGACAATGTGATTTCTACTGGGACTGCTGAGAATGAGGCAAATCCATAACAATGCACTTGACTCTGGGAGAATAATGGAGCTGCTCGGGGGGCCCCTGTGTGGAGAGGCGAAGGTGAAGGAAACAGAAGAAAGCACAGACTCGAGGAAAGAAGGGAAGGCGGCTGGTGGCGCTGCTCGAGGTCCTGCACCAACCCTCGCCTGACTTCTCCCCAGAATTTGTAGCTACATAAACCAACACGTTCTCTCTCTGATTTAGGTCAATTCGAGTTGGTTCTGTCTCTTAAACAGAAATCATTCTTGCTAACACATCTTCAGTCCCTTTGGCCCTCCCTCAATTTCTCGCTGTAGACATGGTTGAGTTTTGGTCCAACGCAGTGTTCCTGAGTCTTTGACTCAGGATACAGCTTCTTTCCCATCTCCTCTCTACTGACGTAACATTGTTTCCAGGCCCTTGGTTGGAAGCCTGATTTTGACTCGCCCACAGCTCTAGAGTTCCCTAGTCCGGTGGCCCTGGGCTGTCTTCATCTGCTGCTAGGTGCCAACCACTGTGGAAAACCTATCCATTCTATTCTAACTCTTACAGCCCAGGCAGTTGAGACTCTGAACTCAGAGAAGAATAGCAGGAAATGTGTCCCTTTGAGTTGCACTCAAGAAGAGGCACGTTTCTCCACCTCCACCCTGCAGTCTGGAACGTCAGAACCCTGCCCTCCGGGCCATATTGGAAAAGGACCGTGAGATTGCACATGGTGCCCCTCAGTTGTTCCAGAGCCAAGTGGACACCCCTGTTGCCCACAGCCTGGATCAGCCTGGGCAGTCTGAACCCTTCCCCACGGAAGTGAGCAACAACCTCTACATGCTCATTCGCCTTTGCAAATGGCCACTGAAGACCGTCAGCTCCAACTTTCCCAATGGTGGACAGGGACCCAGAGTCCTACCCTCCCCCATCCTGCCTCTTCTACTGCTCTCCCTTCAAACATCAAAAACCTATATTTTCTGATTCTAGAACACGGAGCGAGAAGGAGATGGCAACCTCGACACCCTCCCTAGCCCCACTCAGCATCATCTACATCAGCATTAGACAGCCCCACGGGGAACTGGATGATGGCAGGACCCACACTCGCATGGCTCCAGCGGAAAGGAAAAATGGTCATAAGCCCTTTAGAAAATGGACGATGGCATTCAGAATTCTCGTGGAGCAGGGGAACTCCAAGTATCCCAGGTCCAGGGTGCTCAGCGCTCCGTGAAAACCATCCTCCACGTGCTGCCACGTCACTGCGACTCCCAGGTCCTCCAGTCTCTTCTTGTACAGCAGCGAATGGTCCCGCAGAATGTCATGCTCACAGGTCACGATGAAAGCTTCCGGGACCCGAGACACTACCTCATCTTCAGCAATCAGGGGCGAGTTCATCAAATCCAGAATGATATTTGTCTCCAGATAGGCGTCTTCATCCAGGGACTTTGGGGACATTGGCTGGTAGCCTTTCTTCTTAAACCTCTCTGGGATGTTTTCCGGGCCCAACCACTTTCTATACTTTTCCCAGACTTCGGCAGGCAGATGGGCTTTATTCATCATGGTGCTTTTCCAGGAGGGGCTGATGTCCAGGTTATTAAACATACAGTAGAATAAAAAGCTCTCGGTGAGCAGTGGGACAGACTTGTGCTGCTGACAGGAAGGGAGCTGCAAGTCCAGCGCCTGCAGAGTAGCATAGATCAGGACCTGGGCACGGATCTTGGGGAGATCTGGACTGTCCACAAGTTTCTGGCAGATTGCCGCCGCAATGCCCCCACCCATGCTGTCACCACAGACTACGACCTGAGCCGGATCCACCTCGTAAGCATTCAGAGACTTCAGGAAGTGGATGGTGGCCGTGATGCAGTCTCTCAACGCCACTGGAAACTTATGCCGTGGCAACATGCGATACCTAAAAAAAAGAAATCAAGGAACACAGCTAACGCTCTTCATCCTAGCAAAGCCAAAAATTCCTGAGTCTGGCATCCTTGAGCTCAAATTTCTTCCATTAACTTCTCTTTCTGAAGCCTGAGCAGGAGATGTTAAGGTATGAGGCTTAAATGAGCTGATAGACATAAAGCCCTCAGTGCCTGGCACATGGGCTCAGTAAGTGGTAGCTATTACTCCCACTCTCCCAATGCCGATTTGGGGGACAAGCTGTGACCACAAGAGCCCTATAATCCACGTATCGGTCAGCAACTTAGCTACCACCAACACAAGCCCCATACTCTGAACCTACTTGATGGGTGCTTCCCTAATTCATACCAGTTCCCAATTTTTTTCTTTTTTTTTTTTTTATTCTTTTATGAGCAACCCCAAGTGGCCTGGGTTTAGATTCTAATTAACCCTGCCATGCCCACAGGTTTCATGGGAGGATCTTGAAGGCTTAAATGCCACCAGGGCCCAGCAGGTAACATACAGGCTGCCTCCAGGTCAGCCACCCTCAATGAGCCCATTTTTCCAGGATCGGATTGCCGTCATGCGGGTTCGCCAGCCTGGCATTGCTAGACCTTTCCATTTTTCCAAGAGAATCTAGAAATCTGGGTTTTGTGAGAAATTTCATCATTTTAAATGCTGGTCTCAATTTTTTTGTTTTTAAAGTGAACATAATGGGATCAACAAATCTTCCTCCAGCCATTTCTGTTCTGATGCCCCCTATTCTTAACGACCCGGGATGGCAATGCTTTCAACACCTAACCCCTGTCTATCTTGGAGTCATAAAATAATTTCCTTGCAGAGATTTGCCAGTTTTATTCTACCAATGATCTCTTAGTTCAACGTGACCAGAACAGTAAGGCATATAGTGGCCAACGACTGGATCAAGATCTCCATCCCACTGCAGAAATGGTTTTGGAGCCGAGAACTGTAAAGTGATGAGCTTCAGTACAGAAAGACTGACTTCTGTATTTTTTACTCTACTCCACTAGCTGTGCCACAGGAAAGCTGAGAAATCTATCCCCATCAAGATGTTGGCAATCGATATTTCTTTTTGGTATGTGCACTTATACGAAACTGCAGGAAAAGCTTAATCAGGAGGACCGGCCACACCCTAGTGTGACAATGTGTCAGGCAGCAGGGCAGAAGGACAAGGTCAAACCACTACAGTGACCACCTCTCATATGCGTTTCGTTTGCCTGACTTGGAGGCCCAAGAGGGGCCACCCCAGGTCTCTCCTGCCCCATATCCAGCAAGCTGTCTTTGAGGTTCCAGGCTGGGCACGTGACTCTCCAGGATCGGTTAGGAGAGAGAGTGGCTTTCTAACTTTTCTGGCTTCCTTCAGTGGATCTCACCAGGGCGCACCTCCCTCTCTGGAGCGCACGGAAATGGAAATGATGTAAATGTGTAGGCATTTAGTGCAGGGAGGTGCTAAGGATCCAGAATGTGCAGCTGCTCTGCTCAAAGGAGAGGATTATCTCACCTGAGAGTGCTCCAGGTGATCTCTTTGACGATGCCCACTCCCCACCTCGCTTCCAAATGATGCTGTGCGCAGGGAGCCCCACCTAGACGTACCCAAGGGCCGCCTGCAGGAAGGAGTGCCCGGTCTCCGCCTCTGTCTCTCCCTCTTGCCTCCTCTCCTCCTCGCTGGCCTCCGCACGCCTGGTGTCCCTCCGACTCCCCACCGGCCCGAGCTCCTACCTCCCACCCCATCACTCCAGGTCTCGGCCTGGCCCCTCCCTATCTTCCCCTTTACTCACCCAACTGCTAGAACCACTGAGTCACTCTCCTTGGACAAGCGAGTGCATATGTTTTGGTAGAGCTCTAAAAAATAAAGGTTTTTAAATTTACTAGAAAAGCTAGTGGGCTTCCTTTGCCAGCCATCATCAGCTGCCTGCTTCTCACCGACAACCACCATGGACAGAGCTCTTGGGCTGTGACTGTTCATTCTCAACACCTGAGAGGCTGTTTGGCCACACAGTGCAGTGGTTCAATGTGTGAGCTCTGGGGTTCAGACCCAAGTTCAAATCGTGACTTTGCCTCCTTTTATCCTGAACTGAAGCAGTGCATGGGCAAGTCCCTTCACTCCTTGAGGCTTGATTTCCTCATCTGGAAAATGGAAATAATGATAATCATAGGGTGGTTGGGGGTTTCGATGAGCTAATGCACATAAAGGGCTTCCACGTGTAACAAAGGGCCTGCCACACACATAATATTAATAAATTATTAGATACGAATATTAATAAATGGTTGCATTAAAGGCTACAGCAATGGATCCTGGCATTCCACAGATTAGGAAGCTCTAAAAAGGTGTTTTTTCCCCCAAAATTTCCAGAGTCGGGGGAGAATTAAGATAAGAATATGGTCTCAATTTTGAGAGATTTTTTTTTTTTTTCATTAACTTCCCTCAAATCTTTGGTCCTCCTGTCTGTGTACCAGAATTTGTCTCAGGTAAAACCTGATGTGAAACAAAATGATGTTTTAGTTATTTTCACTTTTTAAAAATCCTTACTTCTAACTAAGTAGAGGTGGTGGCTGCCCAACATTGTGAATGGACTAAACGCGACGGAATCACACGCCTTCAAACGCTGCCTTGTATGGTGTGTGAATTCCGTCGGTATAGACAGGTATGCCCCGCTCTTTGAAAGGTCGCTTTACGACATTCCACTTTTACAAAACATCCGCATTAAGCACCTGTTTGCACGCATCGAAAGAAATCCGGACAGGATTTTCACTTGTCAAAAAAAAAAAAAAAAAATGGTGAAAAGCAAAACAGCGCTCAGCACGTCTGTTTTGCAGCCAGCCACTTATGGGGGGCAGCGGGCACCCCGAGGCCGAGCAGCGAGCGTGGCCTCGCCAGCTCCTTCCGCGGGAAGGACACTCAGCATCTCAGCCTCAGGCCCCAGAGCTCTGAGCTGCATCTGTGAGCTTTGGGCGTCATCGCTCGACTTGCTGGAGCGAGAGGTGTCCTCGGGTCATTGCCTCTCCGCTTGACCCCGTTTCGGCTTAGGAAGGCGTCATAGGGACGCTCCGCTTTCGGATAGCAGGACAAACCGGCATAGACGTATCCATAGCTACGCACGTACATACATACGTATAGACATCCCTATGTGTCTCCTTAGACCCGGAAAGAGATCGATCCATTCCACATCTTTGTCCCCGGAATGATCTAGGGTCCGCTAACTGCCCTGGTGTTCCCTGGTCATAATATAGAGGCTTTTAGACCCCAGGAAGATGACACGAGTGTCACCTCATGCTGGAACGGGGGTGGCCCCCCCACACACACACCCTGCTCCGAGGCTATTACACCACGGGCCAGGTGGGGTCTGGGGGATGGACTCTTACTCAAGCTCCCGAAGACGCCCCCGCCGCCGTGGTAGAATATGACTCCCCGCCTGGGGGTGCGGGAGGCCGCCTTGGGCTGGTACAGCCTCACCGGGACAGTCCCGAAGCAGAGGTTGGTGGCCACAACATCCGGATCCTCCTTTACCGGCTTCAGGTCGTGCAAGAAACGGACAAATTGGGGCATAGAACAGATTCCCAGTTTCTCAAAAATCATCCCCTGTTGGCGAGAGAAGAGGGAACCTAATGGGGAGGGTTTCAGCAGGTCCTGCTGGAGTCCTGCGGCCACTCGTGCCTCCCCCTCCCCAGAGTGGCCTCTGTGTCCCCATCCCACCAGCAGAAAATCCCGGACCCACACTGCCCCACCACCGGCCCCTCTCAAACCACTCCCCCTGCCAGCCCTTGTACACCCCAGTTCCACAAACCAGGCTTCCAGCCACCCCTCTCCAGGGTCTCCCTGACTGAAACGCTGCCCTACCCCCACCAGGTCCCTGCTCCAGCTCCACCTGGACATGACATCTCTTCCCAGGGAGCCCCTCCTGGACCACCCCAGCCGACAAGGCCCTCCCAGCACCTTTTAAGATGCTATTTTTCAGACGCGATAACTGCATGGTGGTCCTATTTTGAAAGATGGTGGAAGGGGCGGTTCTTAACGTTTAGAGATACCTACTGAAATATTCTTGGATAAAATAGTACAATGTCTGGAATCCCCTTCATGAGAAAGGGAACGAGACTCAAGGGAAGGCACAGGCGACGTAAGAATGGCCAGGAATTAACCATCGTGAATGCTACTGGGGGGAAGAGGGATCATGAGGCTTCTTTCTACTATTCTGCCTCCTTTCGTATATGTCTGAAGGTTTGCATAATAAAAAGTTCAAAATAAACCACATAGAGTGGGCTCTCCCCCTAGACACACTCAATGTTTCTTTTTCCGTGCCAAGACAATTTTGGCTCTTAGTGAATGAAGCCTGTGGACCTTGTTACAGTACGTTTCTGAATACACAAAATATGTGGGGTTACAAAGGAAGGCAATTTTATTTGAAAATAGTTATCAAAATACTGAAATAAATGTGCGACGAAATACTACGTGTGCTTCCTTGTTCACGCACCGCGTAGTGAGACCTGGCGGCCAGTCGAACACTATCATAATCTCAGAGGAACAAGGTACACACGCGGTTCTGCACGGTATCTGCAAAGGCCGTAACATGCTCAGAAATATGGGATTCCTCTTAGTGACCGAGTTGCAGCTCCTGCTGTCACAGCTGTGGTTTGTCACCTTCCTTTATAATGGAAGGAAATACTACATTTTCATTAGAGGTTCATGGAAATGGGGTGATTTGGTACCCAAATTGATGAACCCCTTGCATCCTGTCATCCTTGGAGGTTCCGTGACATACCCCACTGTCCTGTCTTACCTTCCTCACACCACCAGCCACTCTGAATCAGTTTTCTTATAAGTTGCTGCCCCGCCCCCGCCCCCCGCTGCCGATACCCTCTCTACTCTGCCAGGAGTCTCCAAGCTCCCTGCAGGCGGACTCTACCTGGGCTTCATTGCTTTCCCCCATCACTGAGCCTCGGAGCTACTACTGGAGGATGACATGTATTAGTTGCACAACACATCTTTGTAAAACAAACAAACAAACAAACAAAAAAACAAAAAACAAACAAACAAAAAAAAACATCCACAAAGAGTAATAAGGCTAATATTACAGAGAGCTTACCCTGTCCCAGGCATTGGAACACACACTCCAGACAGCTTAACTCTCTGCATCCCCACAAAATGCTCTGAAGTGAGGACTATTTATTTTTCTCCCTGTTTTGCAGGTGAGGAAACCGAGTCACTATGTTTGGGAGCCCCTACTGTGGACTATGACAGTCAAGGCCGGAAAGGCACGGGACCAATGGCCTCCTGTAAAAAGCTGACTGTGGAAGGAGGATCCCTTTGGCCCTTCCGCTCCATCAAGGATTTTCCAAGAGAATAGGAGCTTGCAATCACTTTTTATTATTTAAGAGATTTAAGAGTCATATTTTCTACATTCAGTGTCTGTCAGCTCTCCAGAGCAGTTCAGCAAATTCCTACTGGCAGCCTCGACCAATTCCTGCCACGATCTCTTTACAGGTATTTTGTTAAATTACGCACCAAGAACGACAAGCAGAATCTGACGACTGCCATGAACAGTTTTCCATTTCTCCAAAACAACTATATATATATATACACACACACACACACACACACACACACACACACACACACACACACACACACATATATGTGTGTGTGTACATATATATATGTATGTATGTATGCATGCATTTAAAGTCACATTCTGTAGCTTTGCTCGCCTGTACTAATTTACTAATTGGCTAAAGTGTCCATTTATTCTGTCGTTGGCCAGTTCTAGCTAGCAGGTTGACAGGAATAGGGGCCCAAAGACTCAGAACAATTTGTTCCTATCTTCACCCGTCGCCAATGTGATGGGCGCTGTGAAGAAAGTAAGCCCGGAGGCGGGAGCTGTGCGGGACGGGGGCAGGGGAGGGGAGCAGGCTTTCCTTTTCTTTTTCCCTAATTGAAAATGAGAATCGTTCTTTGTTTGAATTGCGTGGCCATCCGCCCTTTCAGCTTGAGAAACCCTGGGAAGAGGCTGCAAGTCACCTGTTACCTAACAGGAATTATTAAGGTCTCAGAATATACTGTCAGCCTCTACTGCCATGATATCAGTGTTAATTTAACTGGAAGCTTCTGGTACACCTCCCCAACGCTCTCCTCAACCCTTACAACGAGGGGACAAACAAAACACAGAACTCACCCATGTCAGAAAGAGCTCGGAGATGCAGTGGAAGACCCACAGTTTCACGGGATGGCTGATGGCCGCAGGGATATCTACAGTGAAGAAGTTTATGCAGATCACCCACAGCAGAGTCCCCACGAAGAACATGCAGGCCCCCATGAAGAGAGCTAGAAGGATCCCCATCATGCCGTGTCCACCACCGGGGAGGTCGAGCAGAGGCTGTGCCCAACGCAGGGTTTTGAGCCAGTAGACCGCCTACGCTTGTTCCACAACCTGAATCCCCCACCTCCTCATCTCCTGAAAGCACTGGCTTGGCCCACGTGAGTCACAGACTCAGGTGAGAAGGTGGTTCTGACAGGCCCACGAAAAAGAGGAACTGGCTTGTGCAATCTGTCCCAGCTAGAAATGAGAGCTCCAAGATTCCAGCTGACGTCCTGGCATCGCTACTAGAAATGGCCTTGAATAAGTCACCAGGGACCTCACGAACGCTGCTCTCCACCTGCCTCCTGACCTCATTGCCCATCCCCTAATTCCACTCTGGCCACATGTGCTGTTGCATAGTCTGCCAACGTGGCCCCAGGTCCTTTGTACCTGCTGTTCTCTGTGCGACATTCCTCCCCCAGATGTCCGCTGGGCTCGTCCCCTCCCCTACTGCAGGTCTCTGCTCAAATGTCACCTTCTGAGTGAGGCTGTCCCTGGCCACCTTATTTAAAATTGTAACTCCCCATCAGCCTCCCCACGCCCACCCCACCCTTCCACCTGCTTACCTGTCTTTACAGCCTTTGCTATCACCTGAGATAACACATAACTTCTTTCTGATCGTGAGCAAGTCACACTCTCTAAGCCTTTGGTTTCTAAATCCGTAAGATGGAAATAATAATAACAGCGACAGGCTTTGCGAGCCATCGCCCACTGCCTAGACCAAAAGTCAAATAGCGTCAACTTATTGCACAGCTGAACTGTGCATGCCATCTGTATAATTTTACTTTATTTCATTTCTATAATGAACTTTGCAGGTGGGCATTATCCCCACCCCGAAGCTGCCATTTTTTTTCCGCTAAAGAAGCTGAGACTCAATAGCACCCAAGAGCATCCAATAGAAAGGGGACCTGAACCCAACTGGTCTGCCTGACCCCAAAACAAAATCCATATGGCTGCCTCCTGTCACTCCAGTTTCTCAACCTGGGCACCATCAACATTCAGGGCTGGATAACTCTTTCTTGTGGGGGCCGTCCTGCGCACTGTAGGATGTTTGGCAGCATCCCTGCCTCCTACCCACTAGATGCCAGTAGCATCTCCCCCATAGGGACAGTCAAATAGATCTCCAGACATTGCCAAATATACCCTGGGGAGCGAGATGACACACACCTGCCTCCTGCGGAGAATCGCTGTGCAACATCAAGACGCCTCTGACCTTAATGCACAGGGTGCGATTTGACGTAGACCCACTGCACGAACCCCGTTTCGCCTCCCATTAGTGCAAAGGGGGCACTTTAGCATGATGTTCCCAGCGTCTGAACCAGCCAGAATGCCCGGGCCAGATCCTGGCTCTACACTTAACGAGCTGTTGACTTTGGACGAGTTGCTTAATCTGCCAAAGAGGGATGATAATCTTACTGGACTCATGAAATTAAGTGAGATTAAATGTGCAAAGGTGATTGTGGGGTATCAGAAAATGCCACCCCAACATAAATATGCCACTTTGGCAATAAGGATTATGGTGCGCTGAAGACAACTGAGAAGCAAAGATCCTCCCCCAAAAGCTCTCTACTCTCCCCCACTTATCCAAAAGTAAGACATAAGTTTCCCTTTGAGAAAGCATCTGCCCTCCTCTGTCCCGCATCTGGGAGGGCAGAACTAGACAGCTCTGGACTCTCATTAGCCCAGAGATGATACTAACAAAACCTGTATAACAAGCCTTATTCAAACAAGCTCGTCTTCCATCAGCTTCCCACACTTTGCCCTAACGACCTTAACCCCTTTTTCCTTTGTCCTGTCTCCTCTCTTAGAAATTTACTGTTCTTTGTCAAAAATGGGAAAAACTCTCCCGCCTAGCCACTTCTTCAAGCGTGTCACTTGTTTCTAGAAAGCTCCTTGTGCCATGTAAAAAAATACTAACATCAAGTCACAGGTGTATGCTTTTTCTCCTGTTCGTCTGTCTTTTGTCAGTTTAATCACAAGGCCCCAGCTACAGAAACTAAGGAGTATAGGGAGAGCGTTTTTTTTTTTCTCCTCTACACCATGAAAGACAAACTTTTCACCGACGGCAGTGCTCGCCTGGGAGTTAACGAAAACCCAGGGCTGTGTATCACGACTGCTGGTTCTAACCAACCAAAACGGACAGACAACTACAAACTCTGAGCTGCCCCATCATGCCAGGCTCTCGCCGCCTACTCTGAAGGCTCTTTTTGACCTACTGGGCGTGGACTTGCAGACGCATCCTACCCCACACCAGCAGGACCCAACTTCTAGCGTATACAAACCCTAATTCTTGCCCACCGGCAAATATTCCATGAATTCTCTCACTGTTGACTGCTCCCTTGCCTGACAAGTAAATAAACTCGGAACTCATTTTGATGATCTCCGTACTGGCCATTGTCTTTCCTTTAACAAGGAGGACAGGATGCACCCAGCAGAGAGCAGAGTCTGCTGTAATGTGATCCTGGTGCTCTTGTTCTTTGACAGTGAGCGGAGAAAAACTGTCACCTGGAGAAGACTTAGTGTAACGATCTCCCCTGCGGACCTTTTAATTTGCGTGGTGGCTCCGAGGTTTGTCTCTCCCTTATAGGCAGGGGCTTTGGCAAATTCAAATTCACACGTAAAGTGTCAGAGACCTACCTACCCCTGTCCCCTGTCCCCAGCAAAGAGTATGCTTAGTAACACCGTCCTGGTCAGACCATAGGCTGCAGGGGAGGCCGCCTGGGTCACTAATCCAAACCCCGGCTGGCTCCTGGGATTGCAAAAGTCACTTCAAGTGCCCTGTGCTCTTGTCGCAGTGTTAAAAATTGGAGATAAGAGACCCGGCCAATTCGGCCTGGGTGAGGAAGAACAAATGCCAGGTGGGAGGCATTCACTCCACTCCATTCTCTCCTCTCCTGTCCCTATGTGCTGGCCTGACCTTCTCAGGTTAATGAATCAGCTTCATAAACACTCCTTGTATTAACCATGTTTTTTTTTAATTTATTTATGTTAATTAGTTTCAAGAATACAGCACATTGGTTAGACATCTATATAGTTCATAAAATGATCCCCCCAATTGCTCCCTCCCTCCCCTGACCCTCCACCTAGCCAACGTATCAATGCTAACTGCATTCCCTATGCCGTGCTCCCCATCCCCGTGACCATCCATCGGCTACTAATTTGTACTTCTTTAACCCTTCACCCCATTCTCCCCAAACCCCCTGCCCTCTGTCTGTCACCAAATTGTCCACCATATTTGTGAGTCTGTTTTTGATTAGTTTGTTTTTTTTATTCTTTAGATTCTGCATATAAGTGAAATCATATAGTGTTTAACTTTCCCTGTCTGATTTAAATACCTTCTAGGTCCATCAAAGCGATAT